ACTTCGGCAAAGTGAACGAGGGAGCGAGCGGCGAGAATACAAGATGGCGGTCTGCTGATTCTGATTGGCTAAAAGTGCTGTCAATCTCGTTTTGGTGGTAATGGCTATCTTCTATTGGCTATAACGATTCGAAGGCGGGTTCAATCACCGAAATCGGCCGATCCAGTGTCCAAAAATGTCACCTCGCCTGAACTGTCTGGATTAAAAACTGAGTAATTTTGTTCTACTTCACTTTTTCAGAGTCAACCTTTGCAGACAGAATGCTCACATATTGTGATATGATTTTGGAGAGGTTTAGAGCTGCAGCTGGATCATTACAAAGAGATAATTATCCTGAAACTGCTTTTTTTTTAAAAGGCAAACCTGACATTTATAAAGTTGTGTGTGTGCCATCTACATTTACTTTTAACCAGTAACATATATACTGAAATTTACACATCTGAACAAATCTTACAAGTGTTCCTTTTATTATGACACAAGAATTATTCAAATAGACCTTGTGGTTGCAGAGATAAATGGTTTTTATTATGGGTATGTCATTTTCGAGAAAAGGCCTGAAAAATAGCTCAGGGCTTAAAGGGTAATGGGTTAAATGTAGTTGTTTCTGGTTTGAAACCAATTTTTGTGGTTTAAAATAAAAACAAACAAACAAACAAACAAACCAACCAACCACCATGAACGTGAGCTGCTGCTTTTATTTAATTAGTTGTAGAATCACACACAGCTGATTGGACCGAGCCGTGGAGTCACACCTCGTCAGGCTTTAACCTGAAAAACTAACTGAAGCACAAAAACACTCAGAACCAAAACCCAGCTTCTCTGGACGTGGTCCGGCTGACGTGGTCCGACCCGTCCTCCACCGACCCTCTGCTCAGGCTGACTCACATCAGACCGTTAACTGTGTCGGGTAGGAACACCTGGAAGCCACAGCAGCAGATCTGTGAAGCCCTCGCAGTAATCTGATTACTTGCAGTCACAGAGCAGCGCGGCGCCTCGCAGCGTCCAGTGATCCGCCGGCTGGACGCTCCTCAGCTGCAGGCAGAAGACGAAGTTCAGGTCGGTCCGCCGCGGCTTCTTATAGACGGGACACGAGTACAGGCTGAGCGCCGCCACGCCGCCGCCAGCAGGCTGCTTCCTGTCGGCCATGTTGGCTGCGTTGACGGCGTACACGTGGACAACCGGGAGGGGAGTGAAGAGGACCTGAGGAGGGGCGGGTATTATTATTATTGTTGTTATTATTATTATTATTGTTGTTATTATTATTATTGTTGTTATTATTACCACTTATTTGAACTGTTCTATCTCAGTAACCAGCACACAAAATAAATAACTATATAAGAATATACAAAAAATAAATATAAAAAAGTTTAAAAAAAAAAAACAAGCAGGAAAAACAGAAGACAAAGATTTCCATATGTGCAATTTACAATTTTCTGTATATACATATTTTGCCAAGTAAAAAACCCAAAATAATAATAATAAAATAAATAAAATAAACGTTATTAGTAGCAGTTTATTATACACTAACACTAATTGTTTCAGCTTGTGTTTTCATTTTATTTCCATTTTGAATTCTTTACATTTGTCTCTATTTATTTGATTCACATTTAATTCCAAATTTCCCAAAAGTTTTTTATTTAGAATATTTTTGACAAACACACAACGGTCTGATTTGAGTCCTATTTTATAGTTTGTTTTATTTTATCGTCGTATCACTTTTACGTCACATTTCATCTATGTTCTGTATTTATTATTTGGTTTTTTATTTTATTAATACTTCTTGCAGTTTTTTTTGTTCACAATATTTGTCACACAAATAAAGGATTTCATCATTTTACTTCTATTTTAGAACAGTTTTAATGTATAATATCAAGTTCTGATTGATTTATTGATAATTTAAACAACTAAAAAAATAAAAACCATTTAAAATACTGACATAACTTTATTTCAGTTTTCAGTGATCTTTATTATTTCATTACGTTTGCACCTGAAGCTTCTGTCGTCTACGGTTTTATTTCAGAGCGCCTTTTATTTTATTTTATCTTTCTTGTATTAAACTTATTTTTTGTTTGTTACGTATTTATTGATTGTTTTCTGTTTTCCGGGTGCGTTTTTTTAAATTTGTTTATTGTATGACACAAATAAAACATTATTTTAGTTCTGCTATAGATTTGTCTTTATTCATTAATGTCATATTTATTCAGATTTGGTATAAAAATTCTAATTTATTTTTGCCCCTTTTGTTTTTATCATCAGTTTATTTTGTTGTTTGGATGCTGACATTGCATCATTTGTTGTGTATTTTTTTATTTTCCAATAAAATTTTTTCTAAACTGACTATAAATTATAAATCGGACACACTGACCTTGGGCGGCGCCTCGGCCAGCTTGGCGCCCCGCCGGTCCCATCCCGCCCCGTCCAGGAAGAGGCCGTGGATGTAGACTCCGCCCACATCCTCGGGGGGCGGGGCCGACACGTCCTCCCTCATCATCTTGGTGACGTCGTTGCTAAGGGTGACGGTATCCAAGGCCCAGCCCCTGGACAGGTTGGAGCGAGTCGTCTCCTGACGCATGGCGGTCAGGAAACCCTAAACAAACAAACAAACAAACAAACAAACAAACAAACAAACAAACGGTTTAACGTGACTCCAGACTCACGTCCAGGCGCTTCAGCTGAGCAGTGCCGGACTTGTTGAGCATGAATGTGACCAGAGACAAACCACAGTTTGTCTTCTTTTGGTTTAAATTTGCAGTTTAAAGGCGTGTTGTCGCCACCTACTGGACTGGAGGGACAGTTTAACGCCACCTATCCGTCACTGTGACACAGAAACCGGCTACAAACGATTCTAACAAGCTCATCAGTTCACAGCGAGCTACGTGTACGACACGAATCTCATAAACACGACGTGAAGTTTGCAGTGTGCAGACTGCACGATGAAAACGCTGAACCGCTGCCGACGATGCACGCGAGTCGACGTAAGCGAGCGCCGTCCATCCTCGAGAAGGAAGCGCTCGTGGCATTTATGTGTTTGGAGAGGAACCTGAACAAAAGCAGAAGGAGGAGAATATGGACGAGACAACATGACCGAAAACCCACAAACAAGAAACAACACGACGACAAAGAGACTCACGATGACGCACAACGTCCACAACACGGAGCAAGACGTGACCAGTGAGACGCTGAGCGACGGGTAACACAACGCGATGAGAGAGCATCGCAAACCCACAACGACACAAAACAAAGAACCGAAAAAAACAACACGACACAAAACGACGCAGCCGATTACGAACAAGGAACAAAATGAGAAAACGACAAAATATCAAAAGCAAAACACAAAACCTGAAAAAGTACAAACGAGACGCAGAATAACGACAAAAACGACACAAAACGATAAAAAAGACAAAAAAGACAAAAAAGACCAAAAAGACATGCAAAGCAACAAAACAACACAAACGAGAAACTTGATGACAAAAACGAGACACAACGTGACACAAACCAGGAGTGACAGCAGAAAAACTTAAAACCAGACAATGAACACAAACGAGACACACAACGGGACAAACACCCAGCGTGACGACAACAACGAGACATGAAAGGACCAAATGACCCAAACATGGAGGCAGCAGGCGGTTCTGCTTCGGTGTGTGACAACAGCTCCACAGCGTTCTGTTCAGACACCAGCAGATGAATTCACTTGAACAGAACCGCACCGTGTTCAGTGTTTGTTTATGGAAATGGCATCAGAGCAGAACTCCTGCAGAACCTGGTGACGGAGTCGGATCCAACCTGCGGGTTGAAGAAGCCGGTGAGCCAGAACTGGTTTGGTCGGCCGGCGCTGATCCAGGCGTGGAGCTGCTGGTTCCTCTCCAGCAGCTCCGTGAACCAGAAGCCCAGCGAGGCCGACGGCCAGCTGAGGCGGAGCCACAGACGGGGGATCCGGGCGTCGAACACGCAGTCGAGGGCGTCGCGCAGGTCCTGCGACATGATGATGGAGCCTGCAGCCACACACACACATGCACTGTCACATATCAGCGTGTGTGTGTGTGTGTGTGTGTGTGTGTGTGTGTGTGTGTGTGACGGACCGTCGATGGCCAGTTTCAGGTCACTGAGCGTGCTCCGTACGCTGCTGATGACCCGCTGCATGCGGTCCACTTCCTGGCGGAGGAAGATGTTCATTGGCTGAAGAGGACCCATCTTCTGCAGTTGACCTTTGACCTGGAAAACACCACTGTTAGCTTAGCTTAGCATAAAGACTGAAAACTGGTGGAAACTGCTAGCCTGGCTCTATCTGAAGTAGGGATGTAGTGATTCATGTAATAATAGTTTCAGTAATTAAGGATTTAAGAAACAATACGAAGGTCAGGATGTCAGTAAACACATCGTAGACCAGCTGCAGTACCTGGTTGTTCCACCAGGTGGAGCCTCTCACTGTTTAGTCCTGCAGAGACCAGAGGAGGTGTCTACAGACTACAGCTCCTGGTGGCAGCAGAGAGCATTGTGGGAGTTTAGCAGCAACGGGACCATGACAGAGACTCTGAGGAGGTTCAGGACCTCCAGGCAGAGCTGATGGAGACGGTTCTGGGGCTTGTTTGACAAAATGAAGGTTTCCTCTGTCCCTCCAGTTTGGGCTGGACTACAGCAGTCCCCCACCAAACACACACCTCATGCCGTACGTAGTCAGGTGGCAGCTTCTCCAGCATCTCATTGGCCAGTCTCTGCACGCTGGCCTCCCTGGTCTCTCCAGCCCCGCCCCCGCCGTCCTTGGGCTGGATGCTGATGATGGTGCTGAGCGTCTCATTGGCCAGGTTGGTCTGGTAGGTGATGTCAGCGTTGGGGTGGAGCCCAAACACCTGCAAGCAGGAGAACATGAGGAAGAGGCTGTTAGTCTGGGGCATGATGATCGTCACGGCGACGTACCAACAAATCACAGACGAGGCTGCACCACGAGATGACCTGGATGCTCACTGAGCATGTGCAACTTATGGTTTGTTCTTCCCACAATGCTCCCTGCTGCCTGCACGCCTCCTCTGGTCTCTACAGGACTGAACAGCGAGAGGCTCCACCTGGTGTAACAACCAGGTACTGCAGCTGGTCTACGGTACGTTTACTGACATCCTGACCTTCGTATTGGTGACCCTGGTGGTTTTTACGGCTTCTGACAGTAAGTTCAAACATCCTTTCAAACCTGCCGACAGGTGTTGACGTGAAGCCACAGCACATTTCAACACCAGCTGCTGTGCCAAAGAGTTTCCCAGTAAACAGAACAACCAGTAAAAACGAATCTGATGACAAGTTTGACTGTCGGGGCTCAGACCTCATGGTGCCAGTTTAACGGACTAATTTACACATGAGGAATTTAAAAAAAGCCACTGACCTGACTCTAGTACAGACTATATACAGTACCAGCATCCATGGAGCTCAACCGGCTGGTCCAGGACAGTAAACCCAGAAACCCCTGGATCCTGTATGAGCAAACTTTGTGTGTCTGCAGGGCAGCAGAGAGTTTCTGACCTCCGGGGAGTCGACCAGCGGAAGGGCGTCGATGTGCTGCAGGACGTCCTGGACCGTCCGGGCCTCGGCTGGGATGCTGTAGCCCCGATAGAAGCAGAACTTGTCACTGAAGGTGTTCCCACCGAACCAGACACGGGTGAAGGTGTTGAGCAGACGTTTGTCCAGGTCATCGGTCACCCGGCCGCCATACTGGACCTCACCTGGATCACAAGGAGGGAAAATGTCGTTAGGAGCTCAGACCGGAGCTCCGCTGTAGACCTCCACAGCTCAACATCTCGTCCTGTACCTTCTGGTTTGGTCATACGTTATGTGGTCACGTCATGTTTTTATTTTCATGTTGTTCATGTGGTTTGGTATCTGGCGTTACGTTTGGTTGTTTCATGTCATTGCTGTGTTGCATCTTGAGCTCTCATATCTCGTCTCGTCATGATGTCTTCTTACACCGGAGGAAAGTTCTGTGGTCAGCTGGAGCAAAAGCTGAGCAGAAGCATGTCTGGAGGAGAGAAGGTGAGGCCTTCAACCCCAAGAACACCAAACCTACCATCAGGCATGGAGGTGGCAGCATCATGCTCTGAAACTGGAGCTTTACATAAAGTCAATGGAACCATGAAGAAGGAGGATCACCTCCATGTTCTCCAGGAGAACCTGAAACCATCAGCAGAAGGTTGATCTTGGACACAGTTGGATGTTCCAACCAGACAATGAGCCCAAACACACATCAAAGTGG